AGTGTATTACATTGTCACTGTCTAATTTGTCATTGTTTTCAGTGTATTACATCATCACTGTCTAATTTGTCATTGTTTTCAGTGTATTACATCGTCACTGTCTAATTTGTCATTGTTTGCAGTGCAATATGTAACCACTTCTCTTTTATTTTTACCATGTCACTGTTTCTGGTGCACTCTCAAGGTTACATCATCACTGTTAGTGTACTACATCATAAAACATACTGGCCAGTTTATACCTGATAAAGAATGCCAGGCAGCTTCCCAATACCTGAAAAAAAAGAAATAGAAAAATAATAAAAAAAATAGCAATTCATGTAATTTCTTTGTTACAACGAGGCATTATCTGATCAATAGTCCCAGTACTGGGCATTATCTAGATAATGCTCTGCTAACAGGGCATTATTTAAATCATCTAGATACAAAGTCAACAGAGACCAGGATTTTTCTTTTAAATTGTGTGGTTTTATTGACTGTCAAATTACTGGGAAAAGATTTTACTATTTTTGGCTCCAAGTTGTTTATCTGCAGAAGCCTTAGAGATTTAGTTATGTTTTATTATCTGACAATACAACCACGCAACTAATAACAAGCAGTCTATCGGCTGAGATAGCTCCGCTGTTAGCAATGCACATTTCAATTTAAGAACTGAAGACATCATTAGAAAATGAACAATATGAATAGTATCAAAGCAATTGGACTTACAGTTTCTAACAAGAAGTCGAAAATATCACTTTTTACCAAAAATTACAAAAATATTCACCAAAATTAGAGAATTGAAGATATCATCACGAAATGAACAAATCTGAGAAAGGTCTACATGTAGTATCTATATATGTAATATCAAAGCAATTGAACTTTTGGTTTTTAACAAGCAGTCAAAAATACACAGACACAGACGACAACGACGGACAATCACTCGTATGATAAGCTCCGCTCGACAAAGTCGACAGCGGAGCTAAAAAAAATTAACGACGTTGCTTGAACACAGCAGAGGTTCCCAGCTGATGTTAGCAATGGACTTTTTGGAAAAGTTATGACATTCCCTTCCAAGCGCCCTCTATGGTTCAATTTTCAACCCATAATCCTTTGCAAAATCCAATATACATGTATAGGGTACTAGAAGTGAAAGGACATTTCTGTACAACTAGTACTATGGACATTGAGATTAATACAGTACATGTATTATTAATTTAGGAACATATACGCTGGTATTTTTTTTGCCAAATTTTGCTTAGATATGTGAAATATTATTTTTTTTAGGAACTTTTATACAATTCATGTTAAGCTATTCTATAAGGAACACTGAGATTAACATAATACATGTATTAATTGAGAAACAATCACATAAACATATTTTCATGAGTAAACCTATTGTCAACACCAGGTAAAAAATTAGCCTGGCCACATAACCAGAGATGTCCTCAACTCGTTAAATTTCTAAGAATAAGCACTGTGGTTATACCCAGGGCGGGGTTATATCCAGGGGTAGTAGGGTAATCTAGACTCTCAAAGAGCAAGGTTGTAATAGTGAAACTATGTTTTACATTATAAAAGCAGTACTGTAAAATACCTTATTTTTGCTTGGAATTAATTTTCGCTATTTTTACTGAAGAAAAGTTGATTCAGTGAAAATAAAATCCAGCATTCAACTTACCAAAAATTAGTGAAAATAAATTCCATACAAAAGTCTTTTCAGCGAAAATTAATTCCAGCTAAAATAGGTATTTTACAGTATATCAGTAAGATTAAACACACAAAATTCGAGATTGACCTTTGAGCTTGTTGCATGTTGACAGACTTAAATTATGCTTAAAATACTTTTGGCAGTTAAATTAATATATGCTATCTATCGCAAGCCATGGTAAACATGAATATCTTATCAATGCAGATAAACTTTTGTACACCCAAGGTACCAACCCATAGTTTGTATTATTCTGACATTCTAGTTTGACCACAGTTTAACCTGTGTATTGCTTTTTTTTACGTAAACGACTAAATCAACAAAAAAGAGCATACTCAAACTTGGTTTAACAGCGATAGTATGTTTGTGATTTCTCGCAAAGTGGCTAATTTAAATTTTAAAATTGGCATGATTCAAAAAATAATTTGGGAAACAAAATGTGTTTTCAAATAATTATAGGAAACATAACTAAGTATAAGAACATAACTATAATACAAGTTAAAGGATATATCTGCGTGTTAAACCAGTGTGTAAAGTTCCATGGTAACACACAACACCATTTATTCATGTCCTACAGCACTGTATTAGAGTAAAAACAATTTTTGACACTTTTTAAAATCCAGATACTCCCTCAATCATGATGTAATATTATTTCACTCTATGCCACCAGACTACAAATTGAGACATGACATCATTTATTATAACTCCATAATAGGAACCAATGGTTATCTTGCTCTAATGGACTATAATATTGATTATACAAATTCTCAGTCTTTTCATTCATGAGTATACATTCACAAGTATCCCTGGCATTCAACTGATTAAAAAAGTGAAGAAAAAGTTATCCAACTAAATCATATTCTAACTTTTTTGTATCCAAAAGTGTATATATTAACTCACAAGAGTGAAAAACTTGAAAATAGTAAAAATTGACATTTTTTGAACTGTTCCCATAAAACTAAACATAAGTCATACAAAATGAACATATCACGTTTGAGAGATAGATTTTCTGAAAACATTGGATATTTTGAAGGATACATTAAATCTGAGCTTTAGAGGCACACCATGTATCAAACATAGTTAAACTCTGGTGACCTTGCCCTTTGTTATATAATATTATTCCCTTTATCATAGTTTGTTTAAATATGAATATGCATTGTCATAATTAATTTTCAATACAAACAAGTTTTGGGGTTGAAACAACAGTGGGAAAGCAGTTTACCGAATGTCCTTGATAGATGTAAATATCTTACAAAAATATTAGTGCCTAATTTGTTTAATTATTTTAAGGGACATAATTTCCAGCTTTATTCAAAGTAATTCAAATTTTTTATTATAAAAAACAAATGCCGCATCTCAGAAACAAGTGCTGCATTTAGACTTGAATAGATTCATAAATCATGCAAGATACCAGAAAAACGTAGCTGGCTTTTGCCCAAGTATTTTGTACAGTTGATTCACTGAGACAAATATGAACTGCCTTATTATATTCATTGTGAGACTACTGTATTATTTGAAAAGTAAAAAAAAAACGCCCTCTATCTATGCAAATCAACTTAAATAGTTAGTTGGTGTCCAGTGAGAGAGAAGTCAACCATACTTTTGCCTCCTGAGAATCTACCTCTTCAAACACTGCAATCTTTGTTTTTTAAGTGCATTTTTAAATTATTATTATAAAAGCTCTATTATTCTGTTCTAATTATAGCTGAAACAAATTCCTGTGAATTTTTATTTGTCGAATGAACTGTTTGTCAAATACAGAATACCTATTTTTAAGTAGAATTTTCTTTTCAAAATGTGGATGCAACGTTTTGCTTTTTATGTACCGGTATTTTTTATTTGTTAATAGTGGTTTGTAGCTACAGATTTGTAATCATTTTTTTGTTGATTTATTTATGGGTATTTTTTTAAAGATTGGAAGTTTCCATCAAAAGTTGACAGTTTTCTGGAAATTCAGCCTCTTGAATAAAATGTTGTGCCTATCAAAATCACAGAGTGCCTGTCCTCTACACACCTGGATTTTTGTTGGAGCACTTCACAGCCAGTTAAAAATTGGACCCAAAAAGACAACATTGTGCACTTTTTGCTAAAATGGCCAAAAATCTTGAAATTTGGTATCAAAAGGATTGATTTGACGGTAAAAGTACAAACAGTGACTAATACCTGTATACTCCAAATATAGAAGTATTACTACATTGGGTAAGCTCAGCTTAAATCTAAAATTAGACTATTAGATATGATAGAATATCTGTCAATATATCCAATGTTTTTTGAAAAAAAAAAAAAAATATTTCTCAAAATTGTAATATATGTCCCCACTGTATTCTTAAGGATGAAAATTATTTTTTTTAGATTTATAATTTGTGAGATGTAAATGAATGGTGAGTTTTCAGTCATGAATATCTGTCATGTATTAGATTATGCAAACTATAAAAGCCGATATAAATTTTGACAAATAGGTTAGTGACTCATTTTTTGAAAATGGCTTAAAAATGCACATTTGAAACATTTCAATATCATAATAAAGTTTAATATTTTTTATAATTAAAAAAGTCGTGTTTTAATTTTTCCCATAAATTTCATACTCAGAGAAACTTTTTAATACATTTTTAATAATATTTTTTTTACATAAAATTTATGTGTGAGAAATTTTGAACTTTGAATTGATCTGCAAAATAACTTTTCATTTTTCCAATGCCTTGCCCCTAAATTATGTAGAACACACCACAGAATCATGTAACCTTTGAACCCCAAAGTAGTGAAGTAAAGGGACAACACAGGTACAACTGTATACCATAGCATAGCATACCATGCAAGTGATGTAATGCTATCTAAGGTCAAATTTAACCTAACAGAGGTCAAATGAATTCTTATCCTTTTACCATCAAATTTAGTCTAATTATTGAGGAACTAGTCTGCCTAATTTTATTACTTTGACAAAAATACTATTTCTTTATGAGTAAATGTAATAAATAAAGTTGTAAATGACATCGAAATTCAAAAAAATAACTAATATTCATAGGGAAAATATTTTCATAATTTTCGTGTTGCATTCATCTTTTAATGGCATCTGTAATTGGGTGAAAGCTTGTTATTCCTATGAGAATAAAATACAAACATCTAAATAAATAATGTCTTACCCACCTGTATTATTAAAAGATAAACTGTTAGTGTTTGTTCATGGGTTGGACCCAGTATTTTGATGATTAAATTGATAAGTGTGAGGTTATTGCACTCCATATATTCTCCATCTTCACCAACGTTGTAATTAATCTGCACTAATCCAAACAGTTTAAACAGATACAGAGCTAATGATCCAAGGGGTTTCAGTTCTGAAGGTTTGAATCTACTGTAACTCATTCCAAGTTTGTTTGTCTTTGGATCATACCTGTGAAATAATAATAGTCATTAGATTGCTATTTGCTGTACACGTGTGTGACTGAACTCCATGGTGGTGTTCAAATACATGGTGAACATGTAGATATTTAACAGAACTACATGTAGAAGGCACTCCAAAAGCTCAAACATCTGCAAATTACATATGTTTACTAATACTTCTACTGTTCTAGACTGACACTACAACTTATCATATTGACCTCCATCGTCCAGTTGTGTTTATTCCCTATATGACTATGTTGAAGAATTTATCAAAGTTGCTGTCTCCATAGCAACCAAATCCAGATCTTTCAAGGGCAATATGATATATGTACTGTAAAATACTTTATTTTAGCTGAAATTAATTTTCACTGAAATAACTTTTTATGTGTGTTATATAGAATTTATTTTCATTGATTTTTGGCAAGTTGAATGTAAAAGATAAGAAAAAAGGTATATTCATTGCATTTTATTTTCACTGAATCATTCCTTCAGCGAAAATAGTATAAAGTATTCCACAGTAGTTGTTTTGTCAGACTAGTAGTTTTTGTAGGCACCTTTCGGTTTGTCTGTCAAAAGAATAAATCAAAATATTATGAACATAGTTTCATTGAAATGTTCAGATTGGGTAGCCATTGACACTGGGACCAATTGAACATATTTTGGGAAAGATCACTATCCAGTTGTTATAGAAACAGCAATTTTAGGAATAATTGTGTAAGTGCTCTAGATCAACCTAGGAAATAACATAGCAATATAAATTTGAAATGGTTAGACTACACTTTTGGTTAGACTGATATATTGTCAGGTAATCGCTCTATTAGACGGGCTACTAGTATATAAGTTGGAACTATTTCTCATGAAAAATAACTTTACTCTGGAAATTCAACCACCTGGCAGGAAATGGCCACATTCAGACGACATCAATCTACATTGGCATTTCTTCTTACTGAAATGTGGATAAAATTACAGTTATTTGCAGTTTCTGTGGCATATTTCTATGGTATTATTGACTTACTTTGGTAATCTGTGTCTTGGACATGGTACAAAATGAAACAACTGTGGTATTGAGTAGATAAAATTGAAGATTTGTGGTATAAAGAACAATAGCATTGTTTTACTGAAATGTCCCAGGATACCGACCACTGCAAACGTCATACCGGCAAAATAGCAAAATGTATCGCCGACAAACACTCTGGAAGGATACCTGCATGGAATAAACAAAGAATATTACTACACTGTACCTAATATGGTCAACAACTATAAAAATAACCCTGAAAAATTTCCTTCATCTTTATAAATATTTATAAATTCTTTTGAAAGTTGAATCTAAAAAGCCAAGCAATTAGCAGTGTGCATCGATATCATTTGAAAACATTGCACTGTTATTTAATCAGCCAGAAACCTGTTGTTTGAATTATGAAATTTAAAAATATTTATAATGGTGAATGGTATATGCCTTTGTTGCACTGAGAGTATTCTAAACATGCATGTCAAATCATCTTTACACACCAAATACATGACATGTACTTGGATGCATTCAACTCACAAGAAATCAAGATACAAAAGTTATTATCCAAATTAGTAAGAGTGCTAGCTGAGCCCAAAAAACAACTTAATAACAATGAATTTTTATTTTAGAATCAAACAAAAGATGCTCCTTAACAATCATTAATATTTTGTTATGATGAACTGAACTGATGAACAAATGCATTTTTTGTTTGCATTTATGTCTATGGGGTGTTGTAATAACACCAAGAACACATATGTTTAGTAAGTGTTGTCAGTAAGGGTAGCCCAGCTTATGTATGTATGTATGTATGTAATGTTTTGTTAAACTAATTATATGTAGCTGCTCCTATATGAGTGTTCACACTGAGTAACTGCGCAGGATTCATGTTATGTGTTCTTACCAGTTATAGTAAAGTAGTGCTGCACATACTCCAATAAATGGCATCATAATATACAGAGATAAAAATTGATTATTCCGCCACATTCCTATTGGTAAAAAAACATACAAATATATATGACTTGTACAAATCGGGTCCATATTGGTGAATCAAGGAGGTTAAAACCAAATTGAAAACTATATGCCATGTTTATCGTACATTTATTATTATGAGTTTGTATCATCTGGATATCAAAAATAAAAAATAAATAAAACAAGCACCCTGTCGGCTTAGATAGCTCCGTTGTTAGCAATGCACATTACAATTAAAGAACTAAAGATATCATTAGAAAATGAACAATATATATATACAAGCAGCCTCTCGGTTGAGATAGCTTCGCTGTTAGCGATGCACATTTCAATTAAAGAACAGAAGATATCATTAGAAAATGAACAATATGGATAGTATCAATGCAATGGGACTTGCTGTTTTCAACAAGAATTCAAAAATATCATTTTTCACCATAAATGATTGTGGTTTTTAACAAGAAAAAAATATCACTTTTTACCAAAAATGACAAAAATATTCACCAAAATTAGAGAATTAAAGATATTATTACAAAATGAACAAATCTGAGAGAGGTCCACATGTAGTACCTATATATGTAATATCAAAGCAATTGGACTTGCGGTTTTTAACAAGAAGTCAAAAATATCACTTTTTACCAAAAATGACAAAAATATTCACCAACATTAGAGAATTGACGATATCATTACAAAATGAACAAATCTGAGAATGGTCCACATGTAGTACCTATATATGTAATATCAAAGCAATTGGACTTGTGGTTTTTAACAAGAAGTCGAAAATATCACTTTTTACCAAAAATGACAAAAATATTCACCAAAATTAGAGAATTAAAGATATCATTACAAAATGAACAAATCTGAGAGAGATTCACATGTAGTACCGATATATGTAATATCAAAGCAATTGGACTTGCGGTTTTTAACAAGAAGTCAAAAATATCACTTTTTACCAAAAATGACAAAAATATTCACCAAAATTAGAGAATTGAAGATATGATCATAAAATGAACAAATCTGAGAGAGGTCTACCCAAGGTACATATACACCAAGTATCAAAGCATTCAGGTTTGTAGTTTTCAAGAAGAAGTCGAAAAAGTAAAACATTGACACGGACGATGGACACCGACGACGGACAATCACTCATATGATAAGCTAATTAGTAAAAGTACAAGACTCTAGACTGTCATGGAAAATGCTTACTGTAAAACATGTTGAAAAAGCGACATGCAATTTTAGCGAATGGTGGTAAAATGATGTAATAGCGAAATGTTGATTTAACGAATCTCTCTTGTCATTGTTGATTTCCTGTTTTCACAATACTCGTCTGTCACTTGCCAAAACAAATGCGCAGTTATCACCTCCTAAAAACAAAGAAAAACTGTCAAGTGTAGGAAGCGCCCCAGATTTTTATGTTCTGGATTACTGTATACAAAGCCTTGGCCATTTTGAATTTATAATAAAGTCATTAGCAATATTAGCGAATCAGTTCTCTCGCTAAAAAGACATACTCACAAAAAAGAAATGTTTTACAGTATAATTGGCATCTCTACATTGGTTTTTTATGGTGACATTGTTTCTCTGAATTTAGAAACATTTAGATCAGGAACTTGGCATAAAAAAGTCATACATATTATTGATATGAATCCTGTCTGTAATACTTGGAAAAACATTTCACAAAATTTACATATAATTTTCTGGGATGATGAAAGTTACAACAAATATATTTGTTACATAGAATGGAAGTTTTTTCCCATAATGCATTGCATATATATGCATTAACACGCTCAGTAGTGCAAGGTTTTGAATTTAGCCCATACAATTTTTTTAAAATGTATATTGATGACTTCATCTTGCAGTGTTGAACTTGAAATATTCATCAAACAAATTTAAAAAATAGTAAGAAAACTAAGCGGCATTCCTGGGGCCCAACCTTTCAACATACCCTGGTACATTCTATAAATAATGAGGGCACTGGATTGCCATTAGGATGGTTTGAATGATCTGTCTGAAGAGGTCAAAATAACATGCAGTTGGTGCCATGTATTTACCTGGTTTGGTTATAAAAATATGCTTTTAAGAATATATAATGAGCCATGTGCTAATGCATATTAATGAGGTTACATACGGTAATCATAAATGATAATCTATTATGTCAGTTACATCTTTTACTTGATGTTTTCATTATGGCACTGTTGCATGTCCCATTCTGAAACAGTTTTTCTGATATGACAGTTATGACCTTTGACACATAAGGTTCCTTACCTCTTGATAATTCAACTGAGTTAAATGTGACAATTGAGAGAGCAATGACCAATGACTGTCCAGCTTCTAGTCCATTAATACCAGCCAGTATATTGATAGCATTGGTACAGAACACAGCTAACATTCCCATATATAGATAATATAGGATAACTGTACAGACAGATAAACATGTACAAGTTATTATTGTAATTCATTGCGTACATAGTTATCACATGAAGGCTGTGATAACATTTTTCACTGCTGTATTCACAGCAGCTAGCAAATGCACCAATCAGCATGCTTGTATTATATTTTTGAATAAACCGATGAAAGCTTGTAAATTACAAGATGGCTGAGATGATGTCTATGGTGAAGAAATGGAATCAATTTGGTAGTGAAATAAAGTTAGGTGTGCCTTGATTTATTCATGACATTTGCAAATACATTTCTGTGATTCTTCACAGGATTGGTCGTATCTCACTGTTTGTTTATTCTACCCTCGGGGGCGGAGCTACGTCACGGACGTTCTACGTTGCTAAGACGCGCACCACTGTACCATGTATTTCTATGGGCTTTGTGCGCGCTGCTGTAGAACGCCGGTGGAGCCGGTGAAAACTCGAGAAAACAACACAAACTCAACTTTGAAGTAATCCCGAACAACCAAATTCATATATGTTACACACGTAGGGCTAATCTTGTTACACTGTTCAGGGGACTCTCAACAACCATCGCAAAGTACCGTTTTCTGCGAGTTTTTGGTCTTTGTTTTCACCGCGAAGGTTGCCAGGCGGTAGAAAATGCCCGGATGTCCGCCCCCGAGGATATTGTATATTTATTCACTGTTACTTTACAAAATAATAATTTTTGAAATCAGGTCTTGGAAATTGTATGTGCCTCCTCATTCTGAACATATAGTTCAACAAACTTTTCAGACACAATTTCAAGAACTTGTGATCTTGTGTTGATAACTCAAAATCAGGTTTCATAACACAGTCTATATGACAACATTTTTCAACTCATTTTACAGTGAATAAATTGTGTAATTTGTGTTCATTAATCTAAAGAAAGGCACCTATTGTATACAACTTATCTTATAAGTTCTAATACTACTTACATAGGTCTATTTCTATTCCCAGTAGAAACCTGAGTGGTTTTGGTACAATAATAACAGTGTTACCAAAGTTAACCAAATAAACCATTAACAATGGTAGCGATGCCATGGAAGGTAGCAGTAACTTGTGACGCCATTTCAGATTCAGTGCATCATCCGCGAATCCAAGAAATATCATACAACAAATGGAAAGCAAAGCGCAGATGAACTCTACAAACTGAAAACATAAAATATAGAAGTTATTATATTTAAAGTCAATGCAATGATTATTTTAGTTTGTGTGTATTGTTTAGATCTTACAGAAATAGTATTTTAGGAGTGAAGCACTGCATACGTTGATATTGAATGTGTTACACAACACTTATCTGAAAAATGGCGACATTAATAATATGAAATGGAAAATAATATTATAATATCATAAAATTTGATATATATGCAAGATGCTGATTATGACTATGATGCTGGGGTTATGACATCATAGTTGTTGGATATAATATGGTTGCTGATTAGACCACCAAGGATTCTGATTATGAATATATACCCCCGGTAATGACATCATTGATTATGATTAGACAGTTGCTGAATATGACATGGATGTTGATTATGATATCATTGACTCTGATTATGACATCATAGTTGCAGATTATGACATCATAGAGCCAATTATTACATCACAAAACTGGTTAAGTTACCACTTGTTTTATAAAATGGGATGTTTTAGAGAGTGTTTGCTCATTTGCATATGCAGTGCTTCATCACCTCAATACAAAATGCAGAGGTAACTTCAGAACTAAATATTTGTTTAGTTTATGTAGTCCAATAACCTCGCACACCAAGTAAAAACCACCAATTTCCCCTATACACATCAATGCAGTTCATCCTAAATGAATCACAAAATGCAGACATTGTTACTACTAAATGCAATCCATGCAATGGTAGTCATTCCTGTTTACACTTCATACTGTAAACAGTCCAGAATGTCTTCACTACAAGTATACTTTATCTAGGGTGCTACAAAGCCAAGTTAGTAAATGTCCAAACTATATAGAGATGTGAACTAGAATAGCCAAATAAGTTAAACTGACTAGTCTTACATGTCCATGAACTATTAGCTTAGAATTCCAGTATCCTGTATTCAGATATCCACATTTATCAACTGTCTGCATTTAATGTGAGATTATCATTATCTTATGAAATTAGTCTGCATTAAATCTATTGACAGTGTGCACTTATTTGAGACTGTAATTTTACAGCTGATGTAAGTTTAAGTAAAGAAATCTGCAAATGTTATCATAACAAGAATTCAGGACAGCAACAATTCAACAGTCTTAGGAATCATTATGTATACTGAGGATATCTCATGTCTGACCCTCAATACCAGATTTATTAAACATGTGTAATAATTTTCTCAAGACATCGTAAAGTGTCCTGGCTAATTTGCATGATTGTTTCCTGATTATTTACCTATTACAATAAAAATAATATAGTTATAGTTTCAGAAAATAGAAATAGAATTTTTTGAAAATGAGAATTTATAATAGGAAAATAATTTGTTGAAGCATACACGTATCTGATATGAAGATGAGATTTAGGGGAAAGAGTTCCTTTTGTACCCCCCATCCCTAACTCTAACCCTAATTTTAACACTCCCTGTTACCCAATTCATTTGTATATGCCCCCTGTAGATAACTATAGACGTCCTTAAATTAAATGGGGAGTACTGGAGGGTAGGGGTAGGATTAGTGTTATGTTAGGGGTGGGAGTACAAAAGGAACTCTTTCCGATTTAGGTATGCAGTGAGATGAGTGGGCTTCATAGCATGATATTGGCTTTTAGAAATTTAATCTTTATTTAAAAGCGTGAATATTCAATATTCTTAGGGAGCACGGATGTCAGTCAGGTGGCTAAACTATCTTCATCAATTTTCAAATTTTACCATCCAGCAATATATTTATGGGTTTCTAATATAATACTTACTTCATGGTGTGGAAACTTTTCCCATTTATCCGCCAAAAATATTTCCAGGAAAGGAACTGGTATAAATAAAAACATCACCATAAGAAACACAGCTCCACAGATGACACCTAGGGCTTCTGGTCTGCAAAGAGAATAATTGGCAACGATGTAATAGTTAGCAAAGATCTATAGCTAATTGTGAGAATAATATAATAATAATAATTTTTATTCAACACGAAAAACATACTACAGAAGTTGTTTTTATGGTTGTGTATATAAACAAAAGAAAAAGAACAAGATTAAACTAGAAACTACGTATACACAAAAATGTATTGTGAAAATAAGTTATTTCAGGATTGAAGTGTTGTTATTATATATGTTTGTACCACTGCTGTTGTTACCGACAAACTGACTACAATTTAAATGATTTACAATCATAACGTCAATTAGATAGCGGTTATACAAGCCAAGAAAACCACACAAAGTGGTAAAAATTATTTACAAATGCATATACAGACAAGTAATAATATGGTTCACACATTTTGAGCTAAAGTGGGGGTAATGATTGGTAGTCGGGAGCTGACAATCAGAAATGTCGTTAGGAATACTCTATGTACTAGTAAACGTGTGTTTTTAATCCCCCTTCTAGGAATAAGACGTGATTCATCAAGAAGCGACAGTTTTCTCATACGAGTTCCTAAATTGACTAACGCAGGTGTGGAGGTGTGTTAACCTACGAATGGACCACTGTTGCCACTGATAATACTAGATAATACCTTTATACCCATGCATCACTGCCAGAAATACTTACACTTTTGCTTTCGATGTCTTGTTAAGATCACGTCCAAACATACCAGCGTCAATGAAGACCTGGTAGAAATTTGGTATGATGATAAACGTGGCCAGGAACCCAGCTGTTGACAACGCAATGTTGATAAGAAGCGGCCAATTCATCGTCGATACAGCGAAAACGTCAACTCATATAATGTAGTAGTAAAATTTAAACACAAGCAGCTGCAGTAACACACGCAATAATTCAAAAATACGAACGATTTCTGCAAAACGTACTAACGAACACGTCTCCTTGTTTGATTTCTGTTGCAATCAGCTGATCGTGACCTTCCAGGGTCAAACTATTAACGCATGACGGATGACCTATGACCCCAATTGTTGTCTACGTGTCTAAGGAAAAGCAGAGTTGCGTAAATATTAATATTTATATTATTAAACACAACACTGTCCTTAGAAAGCAATAGTAAGGATACTTAAGCTACATAACATCATGTCATTGTTGCTCATTATCAAAATAAATTCAGTTTTCTCATCCTGATTCATAAAGCCATGGATGGAAATCAGACAGTACACCGCTGCGCGTCGGTCGATACTCCAGCTGTACTGTACTGTATCCGTGCATACTTTGAGGTATTCTCGTAATAACCTTATAAACGTAAAAGAATACGATATATATATATTGCAGCTGCAACATCAAATATACAACGAAAATTATTCAGTGTGGTTTTGTACATGTAGGTACGTTGTACTGATTTCTTTCTGACGAGCATATTATTTTCTATTGTTATTATAACTATATTATTAAAATTGTGTACCCGGATCATATCCATTCCTATTATAATCGCTCAAGCATTTTGATTGTCAGATTTTACCAAGTAATGTGGCCGATTTGAATATATCTGTGTATTCCAATAACCACTTATAAAATGTCAATGTAAATTGATATATGCTTACAATACAATACTGAGCTAATTCAAAATCTTGAATTACACGATGTTGACACAATGACATAAAAAACAATCAAACTAGCTCTATTGCTGACATTTAGATTTGTTTGAAATACATGTTGTATCTTTGACTTTGCTATGCGTTTCTTGGTCTTTTATTCATTGAGTTAGGGTTACATAATCACGTGTCATGACCATGACCATGACCATGACCTTATTAGCTAATCACATTACGCCATGTATTTTGTCATGAGCTGATCACGTGTTACGCAATAAAAAGTGGAACTTCACCACCACCTACAACCCGTTAACGTGTGTGTGTGTCTCCCTCTTTATTATTCTGATACGCGAGTTTTCACGTAATTAAGTTTACTTTGTAGCAACGAGCTACACAATTGGCGACGAGGATCCTAAAGTACCCACCGTTATGGCTGTATACGGAAATATCAGCAGTTTTGATGAAAATGTCGAATCCTTCGAAGATTATGCAAGAGAATGGATCCGGATGCATTTGTACGAGCGAAAGATATTCAAGAAGACATGCAAGCCAGTCTGTTTCTCGCCAGTGTTGGCCCAGGTGCATACAAGCTTATGAAAAATTTGTGTAGTCAAGCACAACCAAGTACGAAAAGTTACGCTCAACTGAAGCAACTTTTGGCAGAACATTTTAAACCTGCACCGATCGTCATTGCCGAACGACACAAATTTTAGACCGCGCGACAGGGAAAGCGCGAGTCGGTGGCGGAATTTGTTGTTCGATTGAAAAATCTTGCGTCGACGTGTGCTTTTGGAGCATTCCTGACTGAAGCTTTACGTGATCGTCTTGTATCGGGACTGCACTAAAATATGTCTCGTATTCAGAGACAATTACTTTCGATTCGTGAATTGTCGTTCGAGGACGCCAAGTCGAAATGTATAGCCGAGGAAATGGCGGGAGCAGCCAACCAACAGTATATGGGAACCAACGCAAGCGAAGAAGACGCGCACCGAGTGTAGCATCGCCTAAGAGCCCAGAAACGTCCGCAACAACATGAAGGGAAAGACATTGTTCACCAAATGTAAATGCTGTGGAGGCGAACATTCTGCTGAGAAATGCAGATTTAAAGACGCTATATGTTACAACTGTAGGAAGAAAGGGCATATTAAATCAGTTTGAGACAGTGTCTAATGCAATGTATAACATGCACAGAGTGAGTGCAAGCGTACTTTTTCACCATATAAAAGTAAATGTAGGGAATACAAGTATTGATATGGGAATCGATACTGGGCCGGTACTGGGGCTTCTAGGTCTACGGTTAGTGACGTAGTTTACCAAGCCAAATTGAGTATGTATCCTTTGGTGAAAAGCAATGTTGTACTTCGTAGTTATAGTGGAGAGGAGGTTCCCGTTTTGGGGAGTATCAAAGTTCCAGTCAGTGCTTAATCTTTTTGTTGTAAAAAGAAAACGGTCAGCTCTATTTGGAAGAGACTGGCTCAGTAAATTAAACTAAATTGGAACAATATCTTGTCTTTTAAACATGAAAATATAACCCAATCAAAATGTGTACCACAGGCTCTCAATTCTGATTTAAATGAACATGAATGTTTGTTTACTAACACATGTTCTGGAATCAAGGGATTTAAAGCATCGCTCATATCTGAGGATATATTATACCCTGTTGACCATAGTGAATGGGCTTCGCCGACTGTCCATGTGCCAAAGCGGAAAGGGAAATTTGTGTGTGCGGTGACTATAAACGCGTAATAAATTTAATTGAGAATGATGGCTACAAGTTACATAATTTTCAGTATTTATTTGCTTAACTTGCACAGAATGGCATTGCACCTAGAGTGTGTTCTGTTCTTGATTTATTGGGGCATTCAATCAGCTGTTTTTGGACTACAAATCAGCTGCGCTTCTGGTTATGGACACAAATAAAGGTCTACTTGTACCAACACGATTGTGTTTTGGGGTGAAAACTGCTCCAGTAATATTTCTAGCAACTATGCAACTATTAAAGGCTTTAATACTGTAACAGCAATTACCAAAACTGAAATGTCAGATTTCATTAAGGATGTAATAAAGCATTATTCTATTTCATTCTACTATGGACAAGATTTTATCCGGTATTCAAAATGTGTTTTGTTACACCGATTATATTTTGATAGCGATGGACATGCATGGGCAACATATGCGTACGCTTATTGAGGTTTTTAAACGTTTAGACACGTTTAATGTACGACTCAATCGTGAGAAATGTAAATTATTGAAGCCATCAATCAAATATTTGAGACATATACTCACCGCGGATGGTATCAAACCACTTCAAAACAAAGAGGAAGCCATTAAAAACGCACCAAGACCAAAAAATGTATCGGAGTTGAAATCATTCTTAAGATTAGTGAACTACAATGGAAAATTTGTACAAAATCTTAGTTCAAAATTACATCCGCTCTATTCACTGTTACACCATGGAATGGAATGGGATTGGAATGTAAAATGCGAAGAAGCATTCACATATGCTAAAAACATGCTGGTTAGTGGTCATGTATTAGTGCATTACGATCCTTCAAAACCGCTAATATTAAGTGTAGATGCCAGCCCATGTGGGTTAGGTGCCGTTCTGAGTCATAAATTGGATGATAACACAGAAAAACCTATTGCTTATGCATCACGAACCTTGGCAGCGGCCGAGAAAAACTATGCACAAATTGACAAAGAAGGTTTAGCAATTGTGTCTGGAGTAAAGAAATTTCACTTGTATCTTAATGGTAGAGAAATCACACTTATTACCGACCATCAGCAATTGACATTTTTGGACCGGAAGCTGGAATACCCCCTCTCGCTGCCGCGAATGCAGAGGTGGGCTTTGCTTTTGTCAGAATATCAATACAAAATAGTCTATGGATCATAAGAACAAAATGCTAATGCTGATTTACTTAGTAGATTACCGTTGTCTACAGTTATTGCAGACCCAGATAAAAAGAGTGTACATCAATTGACAATAGATGAGTTGCCTGTCACTGCCAAACAAACCGCTGAACAAACGCGAAAAGACATAATATTGCCAAAAGTATTAGATTATACATTGTCTGAATGGCGGAACCATACAGATAACGAGGCCATCAAACCATATTTCGTGAGGCGATATAAACTCACTTTAGAAGATGATTGTATTTCATGGGGCAGACGAGTTATTACTCTGAACACACACACTTGTTGGATGAGCGTCATCCAGGTATGTGTCGTGTGGAAGCGCAGGCACGGTCATTCGTGTGGTGGCCTGGTATCGATCAGGATATTGAAGTTGTTTTAAGAACATGTAACGAATGTATTGAAAATCATAATATTCATAAAAAGGTTCCCCTTATGTTGTGGCCTTGGGCTACGGAACCTCGGCAAAGAATTCATATTGATTTTGCTGAAATAAAAGGTCAATTATTTCTACTGGTGGTAGACAGTCATTCCAAATGGCTAGAATCATTTCCTATGAGTAGTACCACTTCAACTGCAACAATCGATGCACTGCGATCTATATTTGCCAGATATGGATTACCACTCCAACTTGTAAGTGATAACGGACCACAATTTATAACGGAAAAATTCTCAACATTTCTGGAGAAAAATGACTTCAAGCATACGTTATGTCCACCATATGTTCAAACATGTTCAAACTTTTAAAACAATAATGAAAAAATTGTGCACTGCCACGCCGATTGGCAAATGCGTTATTTCATTATAGAAATACCCCTCATACAACAACTGGGAAAACTCCATCAGAATTATTTCTGAAACCCGCTCCTAGAACTCTTCTTTCACTGGTAAAACCTAGCCTACAGCGAAAAGTTGAAAATTAACAAACTGCTAGCAAAGCACAGCATGACGGTAACAAATCAAAAATGCGATATTTTGATCTCTATTAGCCTGTAAAGTAAGAAACATGAGGGAGGGGAAGAAAAATGTATTCCTGGGACAATTGTAAAAATCAAGGGACCATTAACGTATTTAGTAAGAGTACCAGGAAACAATAAACGATTTGTTCATGTTGATCACCTCTTTCCGGATGACTATCAAAATGTCAGGTTTGAACAAACTCAACAGTCAGAACCATATCCTGATCAGCAGTGCTCTATGAGTAGTGAACAAATTATGCCGAATAGTAGGAGGAACACACCAAATAGTGTTGTTTTGCCTGCAAAAACTGAGCAGTTACCAAATAGTCATGAAGTATCTATTTCGCATCCTACTTAAAGTATTCCAAAGGTAAATTTAGACCGGATTCCAAAAACCAGAATACCTGTTGCCACACGTTCAGGCAGAATACTTCGACCTCCAGTTCGATTTGAGCCATGATTTGTTATGGAATGATTGTTAGTTTTTGCAATGTTACATTTCAAGTGTTTTCTATTTTGAATATAACCCTTATGAATGCTTAATTTTTAGCAACTGTCTTTGATGGAATTGATTGCATGTATTGTGTATTAGAAAAAGGTTTTCACTTTGCTATGCGTTTCTTGTACTTTTATTCATTGAGTTAGAGTTACATAATCACGTGCCATGACCATGACCTTATTAGCTAATCACATTACGCCATGTATTTTGTCATGAGCTGATAACGTGTTACGCAATAAAAAGTGGCACTTCACCGCTAACCTACAACCCGTTAACTTGTGTGTCTTCCTCTTTATTCTAATGCGTTAGTTTTAAATTAAGTTTACTTTGTAGCAATGAGCTAAAAAATACACATTCCAATAATATGACACAAATAGACAGGATTAGCCATTTCCACGTGCATTGATGTCACTTCCTGTATTTAGGTCACTTCAAGTTATTTATTGACTATTACATTACCATATCACCATTGTAATGACCAAATGTGTTCGAGCCGTGACTAAGGTCCACTCTAAATGTAATCGGTATAATGCAGCTTTGTAAGTCGCATTCTGTATGTTCCAATCAAATACATACATACGACACTTGCTGTTAATCTTGACGTACACAATTAAATGCAGGTGAGTATTTGTTTTTAATTATCCATCATTTTAATTAGGCTGTGACATTTACTGTGACACAGGGGATTGGTGCCTATAACATGGTATATAATCAAACACGGTTACTATTGAATTTAAGGTCCAACTAAAGTAAAAACGTGTTTTATTACTTGTTATGATCGCATGTCCATATTCTGGTGGCAGAGACATACGCTATTGGATTCTTGAAAATAATACTCCAATCCAGATTTGACACCATCATAGTTTACGCTCTTCCGGGACTACCGACAAGAACATACATTGTGGCTTACATATTCATATAGCGTAAGGCAAAGTCTAATGGCTGCCATGCAATTAGTTATAGGTAAAGTAAAAAAAACTACACGAAATATATAAAAAAGATTTTTGAATAAAAGAAAATTCATTTACTTGGTCATTGTAACCATCAAGAGAGGGGGAAACGAGAACTATCGTAATTGCGATTAAGGTGTCCTCTGTCATTTACTAATCCTAACCATGCAATACACTACTGGTAACAAC